GCAACAACTACAACAAGATGAACATATTTGACCGTGATTTAATTGTAATACACGTTTCTAAATGATGCCGAAGTAACAACATACTGATACCGGTTAGTAAAAACCATGAATTAATGCTTTGACAAGTCTGCAGACAAGACGGCAGGCGGAAAACCTTTTAAAATGCGTGTTTTCTGAATGGAGATTGGCTAAGCTAACGCAGTATATGCTCCGACCGTCCACACTACAACGGCCTACAGACGTAAATAAACCAGTGACTGTATTCGCCATGACACAGACAGTCTGTGGTTTGTACTTGTTTAACTTTTGTCTAATTTCTGAACAGATATGAGGAGCTGTGAGCTTGAGTGCTAACAGCTAGCGGCTGTGTTGTTTTTCTGGGGTTCTCATTGAAGATGACGTCACGGCTCCGCCTACACTGCGTTGCTATAGTTACTGCCCCAGCTACTAAACTGTAATGGAAACGCAGCATAAAGTGAGCCTGGCCTAACGAGGCCTAACGAGGCCTAGCCATACCGAGCGAGGCCGTGTAGTGGAAATGCGCCATAAGTGTGTGTACTTGGCCTTTGTTTATCCCCACACTGTGCTCCGTGATCACAGTGTGGTGTGAGAGAGCGTGCAAAGAGTATCAGGTGAAAGCTGTGTACTTATTGCAGGAGATGCTCCAAGTTATTTGGATGTTTTTTGCAGATTAATATTTTATTAGTGCCGGATGCCTCTGTAAACAGAGAGGCAGCAGCAGTTTATAAAGTGAAGATTAAGTCCCAGACCTCGCCAGGTTGACACATTAAGTGCATGAGCACATGTAAACACACACTCCAACAGTCTAAGATCATAAATACTTGCAGACTCCAAATCTGCACTGATAAACTGTCTTATCATATTGGTTTCGGACTCAGCAATCTGCTTCAAAGTTTATTTTTCCTCCGTGTTTCCAATGAGCTGCTAACCTCCAAGAGCGTCAATTATACAGAGAGAGAGAGCTTCTACTGAGGTTTGTGCTGAAAAAGTGCTGGTAGATGTTACTTATTTATTAATTTTGACCTTGAGGTGCAAATGTTTCCAACACAGCGGCAGCTCCACTACACACATACGAGACAGCTGTGAAGCAGATGATTGTTCCCAAGATGAAAGCCGGCGATAAGCTACGGCAAGCTGCATTCTAATGGCAGTTAATTGGGCTCGGCCGTTGAAGCACTCTCAAGCACACTCAGTCTGTTGTAGTGTAAATGATGAAATGCATCTTTGTTCTACGCTTGCTTTTTCAAAAAATCATCAGAAGATTTTGTTATGGTATAAATTCAGCCTGCTCTCATTAATGAAGAACATGCTTTATATTTAAACTTACAGAACTGAACTTTTTTAATTTTTTTTTATTTATACATTTATTAATTATTTATCAGGAAGGCATAGTTCGTTCATCTGGTGTCTGGGGCTGTAATTCAAGGTCTTTAATCTAACGTATCCGTATCCATAGAGCATATACCAACATGCATTAAAACATTAGACAAGTGGCCAATGAATCGTGGGATTACACACAGAAGAAGAAAAACAAATATACTGTACCTAACACCAAAAACAAATGTAAAACCACCAGTTACCTTACCTGCTTGCTATTGACTTAGTGAGTAAACCCTGAATTAATTCATGTTACTCTACTATTACAGTAAACAAATAGTGTCTGATTTATAAATGACAAAGCTTTCACCGTCCACGCAGGGAGAAACTCCCTTTGCAGGGAACTCTGGGATTTTGGCCTTTGCAGACCATCAGGGCCGGACTGGGACAATAAGTCAGGCCGGGAGTTATACACCCAGCCAGGCCACTACCAGTTTTCTTTTGTGCCAATTTCCTGGATTTATTTGTCAATATTTACAGCGTTGCTGCCCATAGTGATAGCCCTAAACTTTAAATCTACTACCCCAGAATAAACATATGGACATGGGTTCCTATTTATTTTTTTAAAGTGCAAACCTATTTAGGAACCTATCCATGTGAAGATATTTTAAGTGGACGTGGACCTCAAATCCTCTAGGGGGTTCCGGGGGCAAGCTCCCCCAGTAAGATGTTTTTTAAATGTTGGACTTAAATGCATCAATCTGGTGCACTTTGAGGGGGAAATAAAGAGAGACTAAACCCATATGAAACAGAACTGTATACATTTAAATAATCATAAAATCATAAGAACATGGCCATAACCAATAACATACCATATCCAATATGAAAAAACATTGAAACTTGTTTATTTATTTGTTTTTGGCCACTTTCATACAGATCATACACTAATGCCCTCGATTGGTCTCTGTGTGTCATTCAAGCTCGGGAGGGTGTGTACTGTATGTGTGGCTCGAGCGAACGAGAGAGAAAGCGTGCGCACCGGTTACGTGTAGTGTTGTTGTTAGCATCTGGTGCTAGCTAGCTGCTCTAACGGATATAATGAGCTGTCAACAAGGTGGAGGAGAGTCCTCTGCTGTCAGACTGAGAGACTGATAACTACAGCTCAGGTGAGGTAAAGGACTCTGAGTGTTTAGATAGTTAACTTAGTCTAAGTTCTCAGCGGGTCTCAAACGGTTTGGTCATAATTTATGTAAACACATATTTCCATTTGAAGGGGGAGTGATTAGTAAAATATGCATGAATAATAAAAAAAAAGTTACTAGGTGAAAAGAGGTAAGATAAACTTTAAAAACTTGTTGAGAGCTAAAACTAGTCTTTGCTGCTGCCTCAAAGGGGGAGAGGGGGGAGACGGGTGAGGCTGGTTCAGGTGCCCAGACACACTCACAACTATAAATGAACCAAAAACAAATAAATAAACAAGTTTCAATGTTTTTTCATATTGGATATGGTGTGTTATTGGTTATGGCCATGTTCTTATGATTTTATGATTATTTAAATGTATACAGTTCTGTTTCATATGGGTTTAGTCTCTCTTTATTTCCCCCTCAAAGTGCACCAGATTGATGCATTTAAGTCCAACATTTAAAAAAAAATCTTATGCGCCCCCGGACCCCCCCAGAGGATTTGCGGTCCACCTCCACTTAAAATGTGTTCACATGGATAGGTTCCTAAATAGATTTGCACTTTAAAAAAAAAAATAGTAACCCATGTCCATATGTTTATTCTGGGGTAGTAGATTTAAAGTTTAGGGCTATCACTATGGGCAGCAACGCGGTAAATATTGACAAATAAATCCAGGAAAATGGCACAAAAGAAAACTGGTAGTGGCCTAGCTGCGTGTATAATTCCCGGCCTGACTTATTGTCCCAGTCCGGCCCTGGACACAGATTGTCATTTGCTCTAGCTTTGGGGGTCAATTAGTGTCTAACAGGGAGAGGGTCATGTCGTAGAGTCCTTGGCCAAGATCCTTAACCCCAGATTGTTCCTGGGTTTGGTGGCAGGTTAACATGGGGCATGCATTTTAGAAATGTTGCCAACCCCTTGTGGCATCCCCCATCAAATTGCATACTGGGTGTATGAGCCAAAATGCTACGTTAGCCTGTGTTTATTGTTTTATTATTCACATTTACACCACACACATTGGTAATTGATCGTTTCTGGTCATTTTCACCTGGGTGTGGTTAATAATAATAAATTGTATTTATATAGCACCTTTCAAAACATAGTTTACAACATTTAACATACAAATACACGGACAGCAAGTGCATTTAACAAAATAAACTCAACTTGAGAATACATAGTTAAATGCATAGCAAATAATAAAACAGAAATACCGTACATAGAATGAGAATAAATGAAAAATAAAATAAGACTAAAAGTAGAATCACATAAAAGCAATTGTAAAAGTGAGTTTTTAAAGGTGACTTCAAAGAGCAGACAGATGTTGCAGTCCTGATCTCCTCAGAGAGGTTGTTCCAAAGTCAAGGGGCTCCTTTGTGTTTGGACCTGGACCTTGGAACGACCTTAGGGCTTTAACGGTTTTTAGCTTGAATGATATTTAGGCCACCTGGTGTATGTGCGGGTTTATCGTATGGCAATGGGGATAAGCTTAGCTTTGAGATATTTTGTTGACCGCATGGTTCTGCTTGGTAATTGTTTGTTTATTTGCTTTATTAAATCTCCATAAACACTTGTTCCTGCTTCTAGTTCCTCGGTGCTGATGGTTGTAAAGGTTCATCAATTTTGTATGGTGATGCTAACCTTTAAATGTGTGTCTGCAGTTCCCCCTGTGTCTGCTGCAGGACTGGGTGATGGGCTGGAGTCGGTGAGCCAGTTCTTTCAGCTGTGTGGCAACCTGAGTGCAGGCGGCTGGACCATCGGGTAAGGCTTGGGGAGTAACGGAATACATGCAACAGCGCTACTGTCATCCGTTAAAGTTTCAGAAAAAAAAGATGTAATCACATTAAAAAAATGTAAACTGGGGATTACTACCAGGATTACAATGTTACAAAACATCAAACAATTCAAAACGCTTTCACCATGGGAACATTTTCTAAACAAAAGCTTACATCACCGTTAAGTGGAAGCTCTGCCTGCCAGCTCTTAATAAACTCTCTTTATCCGAGGGGCCTACGTCTCATTTGAAGAAGCTTTTAGGGGTAAGACCAACTGCTAACTGCTGATGTTTGCTAACTCACGTCAACTAACCTGTCTACTACGACTGATGTTACTTTGGGACTGTTTGAATAAAGTTTGAGTGTGAAGTGGTAATAGCATACTTAACAAAGTATATTTACGTGCATAATTACCTAATATATTGAAACATAATTTCAACAGCATGCAAGTCATTAAAGTAGTGGACGGAACATTGCTTGCTTTTTTACTTCATCTTCAAATTCAGTATTGGGCTTTTTTTAAAACACTAAGAAGTAGTCACGTTGTTGTTGAATATCTTGGTTTCTTCTTTTCTAATGTTACATTGATGTGTTGTCTACTCTTTTTTGATCAGAATACAATAAGTAAAAGCAGTCTTATTGATATTTATTTGATATTGTCTTTATCTGCATATTTTATATTGAGGTAATCCAAAAGTAACAAAGTAATCAGGATACATTACTTTAATATTGGGGAGGTTACATTACTAATGACTTTTCTAAGCAGGTAACTAGTAATTGTAACAGATTACATTTTTGAATGAACCTTCCCAACTTTGCGGGTAAGGTAACTCTAAGTGAATAACAGCTACAGTGAAAGAATGTCGTGATAAAGTCTTGGTTTCTCCCCCATGGGCAGATGTTCACAGCTGGAGCTCTGTGGCTGTGCTCTTCGAGAAGTCAGTGTGAGCATCCAGAGGGATAGAGAGGCGCAGGAAATGCCTATCAGCTGCAGAGTGGGAGAGATCCTGGTGAGAGCGAGGCCCACTGTCCCACTGAGCTTCCACTGACCTCCTCTTTACCCTTAAATGAACACCTGAGCACTTCCATTTGAAATGTCTCAGCACCAGAGGCACTTCATGTTGTAGCCTTTCAGAATAACAATCCGAATTGCAATACTTTATTTGAATGGCCTTACTTTTTTATATTTCTTGTAAACCCTTCTTTTCATTTATTTAAGTTTTTTTGAAATGCTTTTAAAATAGTTCCATATTTGTAAGTTTTTTATAATAATGTTCATCTTGTGCTCTCTTTATCCAATGGTCACAACACTACTCAAAGTAGTCAAATCAGTCCACGAGAGTATACATATGGCCACTTTCTGGTTACAATTGCATTGTTTGATCCTGAAATGTCAGAAATGGATTCAACATCCTCCATAACCCCTAAAACCAGAACAAATTGTCCAAATCGGACAAGCTATTGTTTAACTATTGTCTGCATAGGCTATAATGGTAATTCATGCTAATTAACGCAATTTATGCTAAATGTGCAAATTGCCCAACATATGCAAGTAAGAATCCGGAGGTTTCTATGTGCTGGGGACCCGTACTATACATTTCATATCATAAAACGTTGGGGTACTCAACATTTCCGGGATCACACTGCTGGCAACTAGACTATACTAATATATGCACAATTTTACACCGAAGCAAATTCCTTGTTTGTGTAAATCTACTAACTACTGTTGTGATAAATCTGACTTGGATCAGTTTTGTCTCCTCTTCTGTCTCTCAATAAGCTGATGGATGGAGCCAGTCTGCAGACCCCCCCTCATCTGGTCCAGGGCTTGTGTATTTATGACGTGGTGTGGCTGCGTGGTGCTGGAACCTCCACCTCTCCCTGCCTGCACCTAAACGCCACTATGCACTGGGACTACCCCCCGGAGCTTGTGCGCCACTTCAGGGTGTACTGGCGGCGGATCCCCCCTGGCCAGCTGGCTCTGATGGGCCGGGCGTACTCTAACCTCTATAGAGTGACAGAGCTGGAGGTCCCAGAAGCCCCCGGCCTGCTGGAGCTGGTGGTGGAGCCGGTGATCAGGAAGGGCTTCCCGCTGCCAGAGAGCCACTGGGGCAGAAGGAGCCTCAGCTACACAGAGGCCAAAACAAAATGACTTTAAGATCTGAATGTCACTTCATTACAGAATGGGAAGGTTAACAACATGATGAACATTATTATTACTTTAAACTAGGGCCTGCAGAATAACTTATTGCAATTATTTTGGACTGATATTGCAATTGCAATTCACGATTTTATAAGAATTGTGGGTTTCAGACCAGGTAGAGAAAGTTTTGTAATCAGAATTCCCATTGTCATTGAAAAATATATTCCATTTTTTTTGCAAAGGATCCATAGAGAACAAAGATGTTTTGTTAAGTGTGTAGAATACAATTTATCGGCCGGGAAATCTGTACTTTAGCCTTTTACAAATGTTGTGCCTTTTGCAATTTGAATAATCCATATCGGGATTTTGATATATTCTATACAACAATTGTATTAATTGTGCACCCCTTCTTGATGAGGTAACAACCAAATGATCATTATTCAATCATACCAAGCAGTTTTCTTCAGGGCTACACCTGAATTCATAAACAACTGACAACTGGGCAAAATCCGTCCAGAGCTAAATTGAATGTGATTAAAACGGGAGAACAATTAGCATCTTGGTCTTAAAATGTAGCTTAGCATTAAGATTGGAAACATGTGGAAACAGCTAGCCTGGCTCTGTCCACCTACCAGCTTAAGCTAACTATCGCATCATATCTCATTTGTACAAAAACTGTGTTTGGTTTAAAGGGTTTGAGGTACGAGAAGGTTTTGAATTACTGATGGTTGGACTAATCTGTTTTAATAAGTAAGCTTATGATGATGCTAGTCAGGTTAGCTGCTGCCACCTGTTGCCAGCATTTGTGCTAACTAGCTATAGCTTTACATTTCGTGTTTAGACTTGAGTTTTATTTATGTCTTCATAAACAAGGATCATGCATAGAAAAGCCCAAATCTGAATTATGCCCCCTGGGCAGGAACACGTATAACAATCAACAAGCACTCAAAACCTTACATAGTCTATCACACTAACCATTATACATGCAAATCAACATGTAAATATCACATTTATTTCTACAACTATATGAAATTAATATGAACTAAAATATCAAAACACAGTCATATAATGCTGATAAGACTGGTTGCTCAATATCCATTCCTACTCATTGAAGTCTTATTGTATTCCCCATATTGTTTAACCATTCCTTGTTACTACATGTTACTTGTATGTGCTGCAGTACCTTCAGTCTCCTGTGTTGCCTAAGACGGCATTTGATAAAGGATCATTTACTGAATATTATATGAAGCATATAAAGGGCTAATATGCATGTTCTGTGCATGACGTTTGCAAAATGGTCTTAATCATATTAACTCATATTACATCTCAGGTTTCTCAATGCAATGGTGTGTTTCAATAATAATCCATATGTAACATGAAGTACCGGTTGGCTGTGGGGTCTCACTTCGGTTTGGTGATGTATCGGGTTACAGACTTATCACTTGACAAGATTTACCTATCCAAATATACCACATATTTATATTTTCTTTCTTCTCGTTTTCATTGGCATATGTGGATTCAGCACTTTTATACTTGGATCCACCAATGTGCTTTATATGATCGATCTATGTTAACTATGCGAGAACATTGTAAACTGAGTGAACTGAACTGAAGGATAATTTCAAAACGGTTTGTTAAAGACTGTAATACAACAAGCTACATCAATGATGTGATCACTTTCTCATACAGTACTCACAAGTCTTCTGTAGGGCCAGCTTTTATTGGCTTTATCGTACTTCACTTAAATCAATTTGTCAACATCTTTTGAATTTGATAATAGAAAATATTTTGTTAATCAGTGTGGACATTTCATTTCATTGTGATTTAAAAAATACAATACTTTGTAGAGACAAGTAAAAAAGTTCAGCCTCATGATCTCAGTGCTTTGTGCGGAACCAGAACAGCATGCGTTTGTGTAAATATGTGTAAAAACTTGGACTAAAGGAAACTAACCCAACTATGTAATGAAAACTAGCCCAACTATGTAATGAATGTAATCAAACATTCCAAACCTGGTATACCTGCTTAACATTAGCATGTTGGCAATGACATACTTAAAAGGTCTAGTGTGGCCGTGGGCTTTATATCTCATTGATCCATTTATTTCCATAAGCTATAAGTTAAAGGTCATCTATTATGCAAAATCCACTTTTTCCTGTCTTTTCTACATAAACATGTGTCCCCTCTGTGTAAAGAGATTCTGGAAGTTTCAGGAAAAAAGACTCTCTTTTTGTCCTGATCCATTTATATAAAAACCTGTCTGAAAATGAGCTGATAAGATTTTGGTCACTTTATTGTGATGTCATAACAATTTTGGCTTGTAACCATTAGCCAATAACCAACCAACCAAGGTAAAGTGCCTTTATTGTTTTTTGGCTGAAAGTTAAACAGGTCAGTGTTTTAATCACAGAGCTCAGACTCTTGATTTGGTTTAGCAGAACATTTAAAAAAAAAAGGTCATGTGATCATAGAGATTGTCAGAGCCATTCCAGCTGGCATCAGAGTTGGAGATTAAACCTGCCGAGTGATCATCTTCATCATCTGCAAGGCCATCGGGCCCTGGTCTGAGGGGATCTGGGACACAAAGACAAGTTTAACATCTGAAGTCAAAAGTCTCCATCATGAGAAGGTAACATGAGTTCTAAAAATATCCTTAATAAACTGAACTTGATTAGTCTCCAAGCAGTGTCAAACATCAAATGACCAATACGTAACAACAAATGCCAGTTACTTACCATGTGACCTGCTTTGAGGATCCAATAGAAGCCAAAGTTCTTATAGGTCTTGCAGAAAGCTCCAGTAACGCCTTGGGAGGTGGGATCGTCCAGGGGGGTCCACCTCATCTTGTTAAAGACAGGTAGCCCCTCCCACTTCAGCCTCTTCACCCACAGCTCCTGACCTGTGACAGTAAAAACAGACCATGTGACAGGAAGTACAGACCAATGGCACGCTTCAGTACGTTCAGTACCCATACTTTAGAGAGGTTCAATGATTAGTTTTGTAGGCCGACCCAGAAGTTGACAAAAAGCCATGGTTTTTTTTCCTTTGGATTTACAAATTCAATAGGTTGGCATGGTTACATGTCAACACCGCTAAGCTAAGGGCAGATAATGTTTGGCAAGAGGATTTTTAGTAGTCTCATATAGCCACTTGTTAGCAACCACTGATTTTAAGAAACAAAGATTTAGACGGTTGCCAGTGAAGTATTACTTTTTTTACTATATTTTAGTACAAAACATTACATTTGGTAAGGTTTTATTAACCAGACCTTTTTTCGGGAATCCAACCAAAAAATAAAATCATTCGAAAAACCAGAATTCAAGAAGATGCAACCGGAAGTATAAAATGCCAACTAATTTCCCGGTTTAGGAATCATTCCTGCACCACATACCCTTACTATAACTTGTACTCTTTATGTCAAATGCAGCATGCTTAAAATACCAGGACGCATCTTGTCCCATTTTACAGTGTGCAAGACATCATTTTTTTGGCTATTCTTACCCACAATCCTTTGCGCAGGGAATACACCAGTAAGAAATAATTTGCCTAAAATGCAAACTTTGTGGGGGCAGCTGCAGTATATGGGAAAAGAAAGGCATGCAATATGGACCGCAGCCCATGTCACAGAAGAATAGACCATGTGACAGGAAGTGCCTCACTGCACGGAGGTGGAAGAAGTACTCAGATATTTTACTTAAGTACTATACTGTAAAAATACTCTGTTACAAGTAATAATTCTGCATTCAAAATTCTCTTCAAGTAAAAGTACTGTCATCAAACTGTACTTCAAGTACAAAAAGTAAATACAAATGTTCCAGTATGACCCATATCAGATTTAAATATGACATGTTTGTATTATAATTATTATGCATTGATTTCAATGTTCACTTGGTAAAGGTGGGGATTATTTAGATGACTTGATATACTGCTGCGTTGCTTAACCTATAACACAATGATTTATTGGTTGATTAATATTCTGTATAATAAATCCATACCTGCAAAGAAGCCAATAAGTACATTTGTTTAAAAAAAAAAAAAAAGTACAAAATTGCCTTAAAAATGTTGTGAAAGTATTAAATAGCAATACATGAAAAAATACACAAGTTGATCACAAGTACCTAAACAATGGTAACTAAGTACAGTACTTGAGTACATTTACACTGCTGCTGCACTTAAAGTAATATAGTGAGGGAGTTACCCATGGTGTCCACGATGAGGTCCAGCTGGCCGTTGTAGACGGTGACGTTAACTCCGGCGCTCAGCAGCTGGTCCACTACGTCCACCACAGGCCTCATGAAGTCTCCTGCCATGTAGCTGAACACCTCCTCTGCCTGGCCTGAAACACACACACATATAATACAAATAAACTCTGGAAAAGCATGCATGTTGTTGAACTAAAGAATCGGTACAGTACCTCCCCAGGTGACGTTCTGGGGGATGATGCCCAGTTTCTTCCTGATTAGTCCATTCATCAGCTGGCTCAGTGATTGGCTGTGGAGGGGTCTGATATGGCGACGTACCTGCAGAGCTGTGGGGAACCAAACCTCTTAGTTTAATAATGAACGTCTCAGTTATCGGCAGTCAGTTTTAACTGAGCTGTAGATTCTTACAGATATAGTCTTCTCCTGCTGCAGAGCTGCGGCTCTCATCCGGCTCCTGGGTCAGGATGTTGTAGAAGTTGACGCCATTGGAGTTCTGACAACCAAAAGCAAACCACATCAAACATGATGCACACACACAAGATTCAAGAGTTTTATTATTATATGCACAGTGGCTACAGTGTGCAATGAAAATCTTCAGCCCCGAGCTCCTCCAACAATGCAACACACACACACACATATATATACATATATATATATATACATATATATATACATACATATATATACATACATATATATATATACACACATATACATACACATATATATACATATATATATACACACATATATATATATACACATGTATACATATACATATATACATATACATATATATACACATATATATACATACATATACATATATATACACATATATACATATACATATATACATATATATATATACACATATATATACACATATATATATATACACATATATACACATATATATATATATATATACA